TGTAAAGTTTTTGTTTCCATTGCAACGTGCGTGTCGTGCGGTTTATTTTTACATACTCGCAGCTTCTTGCGCATTATTATTCGAAACTCGCTAAACGCGTAAAAGTTTTCGTGAACAGAGTTTCCTGCGCTTTTTTGGAATGACTATGGCTGACTGGGTAGACACTATTGCTTTCCATTTTATTTCCAACAGTGTGAACTCAGTGCAAAGTTCTTGTCTGTTTCTCTACTTAAAATGTTTTGCAACAGTTAACTGTTGAGAAATACGTCTATCAAGCTTGTTCTCTCCTTATTTATTAGAAAAAGTGTTCTACAATCAAAATATTACGTGAACAATCGCATAAAACGTGGAAACTCTAACAACACACCCAAAACAAGAGCCGGTGTAACAAACAATTTTAGAAGCATTGGAAATAGTATTCGTCCTTGTTGTTGTTTATCTGGTATGGCTTTCACAAATTTTGTGAATTGACCAGAAACCGATGGTCGAAATTGGAAATGTAAATAAAATATGTAAAGAATTGATAGGAATAAACTAATTCCTATCATACTTAAATCAAAGTTTTTTCTTCTATATATTTCAGCTGAACAACATATACATAAAATGAATTCTAAATAATATGTTCCACGTGGATATTTTGAGCACAGTCCTGTACCACCGACACAAAACGAACTAAACGGGTGTAACTGTAAATGCCGATTATGAATGAGCCAATCTTCAAGGAAATGACTAAATGATGAGAGGAATACAGGAAGAAAATTTGTTGTTTTATGGACTACACACATACATCCCCATAAACAACTTAAAACGAATGATCCCAGTAATGAATGACTAAATGGACAATGTAACTCGAACCCGAGAAGACCGGCATTTGGATTCAGTCGAATTCCTTCAATTGTAAAATAAGCTAATATGGCGAAGACAATATCCAAAAACATAACACCAAATGTAAATAAAAATGAATTAACAGATGGATAATAACAATGAAATAATAATGCAGTAGCAAAATGAGCCGCATACATTCTTCTTTGAAATTATTGGAAATAAAATGGAAAGCAATTGTGTTTAATCTAAATTAAGAGAAGGAACTTTTTGTGTCAATTTATTTCTCGAGCATAGATCTTAAGTATTCCTTATTTTTAAGTCTTCATTTCGAATTATAAGAGGAGACAAACAGGTACTTGTAGATATCTTAGATATTGAAGATCTAAACAACAAAAGTATAAATGCTTACAACTTTAACTGAAAAACATTGTCTAAGAATAAGTACGTGCGGGTAAAATTTAAAGCTTGAAAGAGTTCATCTAATAGTTTCGTCCTGTTCATTTGAATTTCAAAAGTTACCCTGTATTCAATATTTTGTAAGCTGCAGTGGATAGGACTACGCTTAAAAGGGATAGGTTCCACTTGATCACTATTGTCAAACTAATCCAATCATACCAGTGGGTTGAAACTCATTTCATTTCTTTAAAGAACTAGACGGCAATCACGCCAGCGAGAGTTGTAAATGCAGTGCGAAGCTAATAACATACAGCTGCCGTACCACAGTCGTACCATGTTGAATTGGAATTCTTTATCTTGACTTGAATACAATCTCAGAAAGAGAGTGATAATCGAAATTGATTAAGTATGAGTAAGATATGAGTATAAGTAGATCACACGATATGCGAACACTCTTTACATTATAAAGTAATAAAACTTATTTTCGAATAACTTCCGATTATATGCAGAATCTGATGATTGCGTTGCGTAACTTTCTAAACTGCACACTGCACACTCTGGGGTGAACCAACATGTATATCTTCTAAAGAAGCATATTTTTCGGACAGAAACAATATTCGCGAATAAAGAGGCTTTTTTCTTCTCACTGTTCACCTACTATACGATATATAGATATACTAATAGTAATTTTTCTGTTAATGAACAAAGTACTGTTCGAAAGCTCGAAATATTAAGTACAATAGTTGGTTGTACTCCACTACATAATGATAAACTTCATCTGAGTAACCACACATTCACTGAATTTAATAGTGTCATAAAGTCGTCTTCACCGCACTTATATAGATTTACTAATGAGTCTAATAACGTTGATGCGTTTAATACGCTTAACATTGATGATAAGCAAATTAAATCTCGGTCACAATTATATCTTGTAACTGCGAAAAACACTGCTTTTGACATAGCTAATGATCCAAAATCTAATAGTTTAGCCAACTTTTCACCAAGTGGTGTAAAATAATTCATTTGTAGGATTTAATATATCAATAACATATAACAAACAAATTAGTAATAGAAAGAAGAATCTTTTCAACCGTGACATGACATTACCGCGAACGACATTACCGCGAGACAATACCGCGAGCGACATTACCGCGAACGACGTTACCGCGAACGACATTACCGCGAAGACTCGTTTATTGGAAAAGAAGAATAAATGAGCCTGGTTTTGTACTTTGTATATCATGTGGAGGGAGGTGGGAGGTGGGGAGAGGGCATTGTGAG